AAAAAAAGACAAAGAATCACCTCTGGTAAAAAGTTTGAAAGTTTGATAAATTGAGGGGGGTTTTCGTTAATTCCCCCCGCCTAAAAAAAATTAACGAAAATTTAAATCAAATTATACTAGTCAATATAATTCATTATGGAAATAAAAATTAACGAAAATAAAATGAAAATAATTAATTTGGAACAGTTAACTGATGAAGAGTTAGTTGAATTGAAGCAATTGACCGACCATTCTTTATTTGAATGTCGAAATTGTGGTAATCAAGGAACTTCACTTAAATGTTCTTTCGCAAAAAAATTGGAGGAGTTGGAAAGGGAAAGAAAAATTATTTGTCAGCAAAAAATAAAACGAACTCAAAGTTGTCGTAATTTACATATTGAAAATGAATGTTTGGAATATTCCGGACAATATTGCTGACATAATTGCGGTTTGGAAAAATCCAACCAAGTTTGTGCCAAACATTGAAAAAAGTTGAATTCCAAGAATTAGTTGTTGGGGAGTTGCTTCTCGGCTCTCCCCTAAAAAAAAGCCGAGTAAATGGGGTTAATCCCCCTCCAATTTAGAAACAAAGTATAGTAGTTTTAGTTAGCATTGCTAATCTAAGATAAGGCCCTGGTGCCATGAGGTCGGGCATCCTCAAAAAACCTTGCCAAAAACAAGGATCTGCTCCAGTTATTAGTTTTGGGTCAAATTGACGAAATCCCCTCCAATTGATATTGGCTGAGAAAACTATTTATAATAATAAATAAAAAACTGGAAATTAAAGAATAGATATGGTAAGCAGAGAGCATAGACTAACTCGTTTAGTCCTAAAAAAATTAGGTATCGACTGAGAAAAAAAGACTTACAACGAATTTTATCTAATCGAGTATGGGGAAAACAAAAGACCTAATATATCAAAACTGTTGAAAATCTGTGGTGGCAAACCTACTCATTGTCCTTTGGAGGACTACGAAATTCGTAGTTCAGGAAGTGGACAACCCGAAATGATAATTGAAATAAAAAAGAAAGGAGTAGTTTTAATAGTAGAATGT